CGGGAGGGTTCCGTACTAGTGCTGGTCGGGTTTTGTTCCTCAATGTTGTCGCTGAAAGTAGAGGTAGTTGAATTGGAGGTTGAGTAGAGTGTCTCATGAGATGAAGGATGAGTTGTCGGTGCTACCGTGGATGGAACCGGTGTCTGAGAGTCTGAATTTGGATACTGAGTATCCGAAGTTGGAGATGGTGGGGACGAAACCCATTGTTTCATTTCTTGTGAAGGATCATCTACGACGCGGACAAGCATCCCAAGGATAGAGCGCCCATGTAATGCCTTTGCAGCGTTGGCTGCTTCACGAGCATCATAGTACGACGCAATATAGACAGTCTTGATTGACCATAAGCGTGTGACTTGGAAAGTACGTATCACTCACCGATCCAACGGCCTTTTTGGCATGAAAGGAGACTAATTCTCCGAAGAGAGCCAGCGCAGCGTGAAGACTGACTGGTTGGTGTCCGGTGGATTCGTTAAGTTGTTCCGCCACGATATACAAGTTCCCCTCCTTCTTGTCTACGAAGGGAGACTCCCCTGTCGCCTAAAGAGAGGAAGGGTTAGCTACCGTGTGTGACGAGTGGTCATGTCCAAAAGGTATACTAACCTTGATCAAGTTGTTGGGGGTTATGAATGCAGCGGACAAACGCTCTTCCATCGCAAAGAAGTTGTTCGTGAGAAGAAGGTTCCTTGCCTTTTTAGCATCACGGATATCATGCCACGAAAGAGCGATGATTCCTTTATTTTGATAGCGGACGAATATGCCTTTGAGATCACCCATTTGCTTGACATTGTATCAGTATCGAGGAGAGATGAAAGTGATGGACAATACCCCAAAGGTCCTGGTCAATGCACTGACTGGTGTCTCAGGGGGGACGCGTCCGACCACCAAATAGCGAGTGGGACAATTGTCCTCTACGACGAACCCAGCAGCCAAGAAAGCATCTAAAGATGGCTTTCGTACTATTGTTGTACTCAGTGGGAGTTCATGATCAGTTCTCGTTTTACGAGTGCCTGGAGTGTCTGGTGGCGTCAAGGGATGGGATCTTGGGTTTGAACGCTGTGGAGGAGGTGATGCGAGATCAAGATTGACGATATTCGTACGTAGAAATGAGTCTCTGATGGCATCATGGGGATAGGGATTAGGAAGGTGTTGGTACTGCTCGATAGGAAAAGACAGCTAGAATGGTGGTTAGAACATTGTTCAGACACAAGTCGTTGTAACCCAGGATACTGACATTAGACCTCGAATGCATAATTTGAAGAGAAAGGAGTGAAGACACGAACAAAGCGTTGGGAGTGGTGGTAGAGACCAGAGGCGAGACAAACTTGCGGTCGGTTGGGAAGTCAAAAACGATCGAAAGAAGACGAAAAGGGAAGAGTCGGGGTTCGAGTTATGAATTGTCTGGTGCAGAGAATCGGGAACGAGCTAGGTGCGCCTCATTCATGGAATGGTCGTGCATGGGCACATGTTCAGGTGTGTATGGGGGTCGCCTGAGCTGATCGAATCCACTCGTAGTCGAGTGTGTAAAAAATTCGACAGGCTTGATTTGATGGAGGATGCAACTTCCATTTTCATCTAGTCGGGCGTGTCGAGGTGTGTCCTCC